TATTTCTGCCACAGGTGGGCATAGTGGCCAACTTCCTTGCTACAGCTTGTTCTCATGAGGTGTCTAGCACCAAGCTAAGTCCCTCCTTAGTATCCTTGCAAATTCATGAGATAGTATTATGGATATCATTCATGCTTATGGCTAAGGAAAGAGAATGCCTGCAGACCTTGGGTAACATGCTCAGAGTCACCACTTAAACAATGAGGCCGGGCTGATGTACACAAGGCCTGGCACACAGTTCGGAGGTGCTGGGTACACTTGACACAACTGGGTCTTTCCCATTTACTTGGTCCCCCTCTTGGTTCACCGCCCTACACTCTGAACTCCAGCAATGGAGAGGCAGATTCCAGTATTTGCCGAAAAGCTCAGAGTTTCTTTTGAGTGACGGGACCTCCCTGCTTCTAGCAAGTGAGTGGATTATTGGAACCTCTGCATAGCGAGCTTCAGGTCTTTTAACTCCTGTGGTGGACCTGGGTGAAGTGGGAGAGATTTTTGACCGAGAAACACAGAGATAGAGCCAAGTCAGAGCAGATGCCAAATATCAATTTGAGTCAGAGAAGATTCCATCACTGGCAGTGGAAATTGTATTTGCAATCGAAAACATTGGTGACCGACGTACAGATACATTGGTCTCCATTTTTAGATTGCTAAATAAACACAAACAAACCCCTTTAAAAAGGTTTGTAATTTATTCATATTTTATGCTTGGGAAAACCTCTTGGAGTCATCCAAGATAAATTTCTTATCTTAAAGTCAAGAACCCACTTGCTCTTCGGTCACGGAAGTGGAACTAGAACCCAGACTTCAAGTGAAAGATCCCAGAATGACTGATGATATTTTTATTGGTTTTACTAGCTGGATTGTGTGTGGACAGATGGTAGTCATTGACTGAGGAAGGTCAGTAGCCCTTTTAATACTCTGGGGACATAGCAATTGAAGATTTTTTAAAAAAGGTTCCTTGATCTGTGCAGATATAGTTTAAGTGGTAGATGTGCTCCTCCTAGCCTGGGAATTTACCCAGCAGGCAGAACTGATTTAATTCAGCTCCTTCATATCAATTCAACCTTCATCCAAGCAGACATATAAGGCTAAGTCTCCAGTTTTTTCTCCACCAGGATCTGAAGGTGAATTGCAGTGTTACCAACTTTGGGTACCCTGTCATTACCACTTGCAGAAGCAGCCGGCACACAACAAATATTTACCTGATTATAGTCTCCCATACACAGTTAGCTGTCCAGTGTCAATCAAATGCAAGCCAAAATGCCAAGAACAGGGAGCTCATTGGAATCGTGCTTGCCTAGCAAGTGTGAGGACTGGGGTTCAATACCCAGCATGGGGAGAAAGTATATAAACTGGAACACACCACAAGCCTTTTTCTTGTCATTATTCCCTAAATAATATGACAACAATCTCCATAGCATTTCTAGTGTATTAGGTATTATAGTAGATGACTTATAGTATAGGTTGTATGCAAATTCTACACCTTTTTATAACAGATTTGAGCATCTAAAGAGTTTGTTATCTAGGTGTATGTGGGAGTGGTAATCCAGGAACTGATTCTATAGAGATACCAAGGGATGACTCTTTAACATATATGTGGCAGTCCTTAAAATTTAGGGTCACTGCCCACATCGAGAATCTAATGAAAGTTATAGATCTTTTCCTTGAATAAATGTCCAAGTGGATTGCAGACAGAAATCTTTGTATATAATTAAGATGTGTTCACAAACTCCTGATGTCCCCCCAGAGAACCCCTGGGGAAAGGAGTTGGACATGGGTCAGTGCTTTGGGCAGAACAGAGAGCTAAAGTTAGCAACCACTGAGATGTAGTGTCCCCAAGCTCTGAGATACTATGGCTTTTCATGCTTGAATTCCTTTTTCCGGTTGCACAGTGGAGACAGAGGAAGGGAACTGATGGGGAGATGGGTGTCAGTGGGCTGGGTCAGTGGGTAAGCACCCATAAAGGTGTGTGTGGAAATTGTGGAAACAGTTAGGAATGCGCTTGAAATAAGAGAGTAACAGGAAAGACCGAGAAGGGTAGAGAAGGAACTCAAAGTGGGTAGAAAGACTTGGGTACAGCAAGGCTGCAGGAGTGGAGCCCTTCCTTGTGAAGACAGGGTTCAGGATGTGGCCCTGGGGACAGTGAGTCCCTCGTGGAGTCTAGCATGTCAAGTGTCATCTATGAACCATGGAAGCTGAGGGGAGAGGCGGCGAGAGTGAATGATGAGTTCATAAATTCACTTGGCCCAGAGTCGTTCTTGGCTTTGGAGGGAGAAAAGCAATCTGTCTGAGGTTGAATCTTGCCTGGAAACTTCTCAATTACTCTGAGGCTGTACTTTTCTATTTCACTCTTAGTCTTTGCTTCTCATTTGACACTTTCTTGGGCATCAGACCTACCTGCAGGGATTAGATCCATTTACTTGTTGGGGGGCGCTAGCCCACTGCCTCAGCCTCCCCAGCTCAGTGCAGACGGATGTTCCAAAACAACTTTTGCACCTGTTTTTGTTGATGGTCGTAGTGTGGGGCTCAGAAAGCCATCCCCAAAGTATGGCAGTTTAGTACTTTGTACTAAAGGACACTGGAAATGCTTGAAAGTAGCCTTCGAAGCAAAGTCTCTTTGATTTGTGCTGCTCCCTTCTCTCCCTCAAAGGAAGTCAGAAAGCTGAATTCCTCTTCCCTGGGATGGGTCATAGAAACTTTCTACCCCAAAGCAAGCCACAAAACCTGCAAAACTTACCCTTTTCCTTCTCCTTCTTCCTTGCAGACTCATATTCCAGACAGGCCGCAATGCATGCTACACAGAGGAGCCAAGAACAATCCCCACACAGAGACTCTGAATCCCCCTGGCCATTACCATTAGATTACATTATCTGGTCACATTTCTAGTTGGCCGCTTCACTCTCCACTGAACAGAAACATGAAAATAGACAGCTTTTACCTGGGCCTTTGGGTGTTCATGTTTGAAAGCTTCTGTGTCACACAAAACTGATGAAATAAGTATGTTCAGCTTTGCTCTTGTTAACCTGTCTTTTATTGCAGGAGTGTGGGCTGTGACCCTGGTGACAGGTGAGGAAAAGGGATGGCACCTCTCCGCCCCTACATTAGCTTTCATCCGTGGTGGTGATAGTGACAAATGATTCAACTGGGTACCTTGCCTGACCTGGTGCCTGTCATATGAGAACGGCTCTGTTACCCACTCAACTTCTGTCTTTCCCAACATATGTGATCATACCCTTGCCCAATATGGTGCTGTGAGCCTGTAATCCCAGTGCTGTGGGAGGCTGAGGCAGGAGGACTGCAAATTTGTGCCCTGCCTGGGAAATTCAGAGAGACCCTCTCTAGAAAAAAAAGGAAGTGGGTGGCTGGGCAGGGATGGAGTCAGTGTTTAGGCTCTGGGTATTTCCCAGTAAAAGGCCCTGTGGGTTTTTTTTCGGGGGGGGCAGCTTTTTATTTAATTTTTTATATCTACATTCGTGTCGATCATACTAAAAAACACCCTAAGGATCCTATTGAACAGAGTTCCAATAGAATAAAAAAAAAAAGATATTTAAATAAGCTAGGAGTGGTGGTGCATGCCTGTAATCACAGCACTCTGCGAGGCTGAAGCAGGAGAATTCAAGTCTATCTGAGACCAGTCTAGGCAACTTAGTGACTTAGCAAGACCCTGTTTCAAAACAAAAAGTAAGAAAGGGCTGTGCACGTGCAGACCTTGAATTTGATCCCTAGTAACACACATACACAGATAAATAAGTTAGTTATATTTTTCACGTACTTCTCTATGTTAAAAATCAATACGTAAAATTACAAACAAAACCAAGCCAAAATACAAACCCTCTCTCAGACAAACCACCAAAAAGGAAACAAAACAAAACAAACAAACAAACAAACAAAAAAACTTTAACAACATGGAAATAATGAGTGGAGCCCACCAATTCATTTAGTTTTACTGCCTAATTTTTATTCGTTGGTTTATTCACGGCTTTCTGTCTTCCACCTAAGGAGGGGTTAGGATTCGGTTTTTTGGGACTCCTGGGTTTGGGGCAGAGGAAGTAGTGGAAATCCATTAGTCAACGTGTCTCTTGTATTAAAACACCCCCGGAGGTGTGCATGGACATAGGAACAGTGACGCGGACCATCCTGAATTCTCAACCTGAGAGCATCTTCCGGGCCCCGCGAACGCCAGGCCTGGCTCAGAAAGCGACAGAATCCTGAGTCTCCAGGCCAGATTTTCCCTCTAGCCATTCCCGGCCACGCAAAGCAAAGCTGAGAGCGCACAGAAAGGGGATGTCTTCATCGCCAATCGGGATGGAACGTACCCGCCAGCTCAGGGAGCG